ATGAAAGAGTGGGTGTTGCTGAGAAATAGAAGGCTTTTGGAGTTAGAAGGACATGACTTGAAATTTGGGTGGCATGGATATTCATGGTACAACAAAGCGAAGGTTAATGTAGATTTCAAAAATAATTTTGTTAGACATGCCATATTGAGAATATGAAATAGATACAAACCCAGGTTGTGCCCAAAAACACTTTTGTGGCTCTCAGCACAAGAAGCATTCTATAGATGAGAAATGATAACTAAACACAAATGACTAACTTACGAGATATTCGAATTTTGTCAAGAGGAATGCAAAATAAAATCAAGAGAAGATCTAGTGGCAGAAGGACATACTTGTCACAGCGCAGGTAGCTAGATTCTGTGCAGCAGCAATAAAGATTCATCGGAATTTGATGAATATCTTATTGTAAATAGTTTTATATAACCAACATACTTCAGTTTTAGATATTATCATTTTATCATCACCTTTATTATACTTAACGATCAATAATTGTAGGATATCATAATTTAAGGAGTAATAATTACACTACAGTATAGGCCACTTGACTTCATGTATAAATGACATTTAGGTGGCCAAATTATAATTACGATAATATCATAATTTAAGGAGTAATAATTACACTACAGTATAGGCCACTTGACTTCATGTATAAATGACATTTAGGTGGCCAAATTATAATTACGATATAGATTTTATTTGTGATTATTATATCTAAGATTTTTAATTAAACATGTTATGTGCATTTTGTACTGGTCTATGACTGTAATAAACTGATTGATTGAGGACATACTTGTCAATGGTTCTGTTATGTACAATTATTAGAAAGATTTAAAGTAGACAAAAGAACTTTTGGTTTTGAACAGTGTACGACTGAGTTTGAACTAGATCTGTGTACCACTGATGAACATGTTATTGCTAAAATGTACAGACTTTCATTGAAATTTGAAACAGAAGAAGAAGTAAAAGAATGTATGATAAAGTGGACCAAAAATGTTGGTTACAATATACAAATGGAACAGTGGGAGAATATGTGGATGAAAGGATTTAAATTTACACTATGTTATAAACTTAAAGGGAATTTCTATAAAATAAAGTATCGTTGGTATATGTCACTGGAGAAATTATTTAGAATGTATAGAGGTACTTCAAATTTATCTTGGAAATGTGAACAACACGAAGGGACATTTTATCATGCTTGGTGGATGTGTAAAAAAGCCAGAGTTTTGGATTCAAATGCATACACTAATTCAGAAGATTTTAAAGATTAATAATTTACAATTGAAACCAGAGGTTTTTCTTTTGGGACTGATGGACAAACATTTGGAAAAAAGTTATGGAACTTTGTTTTTATATGCGATAACCACAGCAAGATTATTATATGCACAAAGGTGGAAAGAAGAATGGATGGTGAAGATGATGGAACTTGCTGAGTGGCCAAACTTGACTTTTTTAATCAGAGAAAAAACATTATCTATGTTTATTGCTGACTGGAAGCCCATTATAGACTTTTTGCATGCAACAGAAAAAAATGAACATATGATTTATGGCTTTGATGATTAGAAAAAAAAATAGATTATAGAAAACATGAGAGTCACGTTGGAACCATAGAGTAAGAGGTAATTTATACTTACAACTGCTGTAAAGAAAAGAGGAAGCTACTTTATATTTTCTTTCACTTTCTCTGCACTTTTGTCTTTGTCTTTGTCTTTGTCTTTCTTTTCTTTATTCCATATTAGTTTATGTTCGTTTTTATATTTCTTTTCATTTTTTAAAATAAAATCATATGAAAAGAGAGAGAGAGAGAGAGAGAATTTTTAAATGCACCACGGCCCTATTGCATAAAACCCTTTCTGGATGTAATGGCCTAGTTCACCACAAGAGTTAGCCTCAATCCCTCTCCCCTCCCCTCTCTTTGGGGGAATGTGTGCTACCTTACTCCATATGAAGAAGATGCCATGGAGACTTTAAAAATATTCCCAGCTATAGTTCAGAATGATTAGTTCAGAATGTTACCACCTCATTCAGCAAGTTTTCAATCAACCCACTTGATAGATTTGGCACTGTGTAAGTTTGCATTATGTACCATGTGATATAAAGGAAAGATACTGAAATATTTTGAAAATGTTCTATGGCTGCTTTATAAATATATTGAATATAAAAATATTTTGATGTTGACACTGCCTGTGTTAGATAACATGATGCAGAAACAAACATGCTTATCAAGTAAGGAAAATCAAAACCCACTGAATCTCAGGATTCTAGCTCTTGTTGCACATATTTCTGTATGGTATTTATGTCTGAAAACTCATCTTCTCTTCCCATCCTCTCAGCTTCCTTATTTCAGCAATAAAATGGAGAAGGAAGCAATTATGTGGTAATTTAATAATCTTGCATTCTGATTTGCAGACATACTTACCTTTGGCTGGAATCTGTAAATGTCGCTAGAGGAATTCAGGAACCAGCATTCATTGTGTTCAATAGCCAGAAATTATTAAGGTTGAATAAGTAGCTTTAGCTTTCCAAGAGTCTCTGAGCAACCTGGAATGTGGGGTATATGAACTAATTTGGATGGATAATATTCTACATACAAAGTGCAAATGATTTCCAGCTGAAACTGGAAACAACTATTTAGATTCTTGACCCCATTTTTCTTCTCCCTCATGCTGGCATCAAGCCTGCCTATCGCTACGAAGCCTGACCTTTTTGGGGGGATGAGTATTCATTATTGTACTTTGCCCATCTGTGGGATGATGATGTTGATGGCGTTTTGGAATTATTGTGATTTCAGCGCTGGGATTCAGAACTGGAAGCCTTTGCCAAAGACTATTCAACAAAATGCATTTGGGAACATAATAAAGAACGTGGCCTCCGAGGCGAGAATCTTTTTGCCATGAGTGGAAGAGAATTGGATTTGGAGAGAGCGATGGACGAGTGGTATAACGAGTACCAGTTTTATAATATCAGCACGTTGACATGTAAAGAGGGGGAAATGTGTGGTCATTACACCCAGGTATCTAATTATATCTTGATAGATGCTTAGAATCAATGCCTAGGAAATAGTGTATCATTGTGCTACCTACTGAAAGGAAGAGACCCCACAGTGATAGAGAGCTTATAAGGGATAGAAAGGTAGAAGGTATTCTATGGAGTGCAGAATAGACAGTGATTACAAGTGTGTGGATTTCTTTGAACGTCTTAGCTTCTGGCTTCAGTTTTAATTCCCAGCCAAGATTGTGTAGAGAACTTGTTCCCTTAGTCTTGTAAGAGGCATCTTAAGCCACTCATCAGTTACTGACTTTTCTTTTTCATTTTCATTTTAAAAGAGCTTGGGTGCACACAGTGCTGATTAGATTAGTACATATCGTCACTTTTAACAAAACAAGAAACTGTCTTCCATTAACTGCAAGTTGGATCCAACTCTAACTCTAGACTCCAACTCTAATTAAACCAACGGGACACGCATTCATGAATAATGGGTCCTGCTGGTTTTCAGTGGTACTGAAACCTGATGACATGGTCTGAATTCAGCTGAATAACTCCAACCAATTGTTGCTGTTGGGGAAATGACAGCCTTTTCTGAGTTAAAACCTGCTTTTTTTGGCTACGGGGAACTCATTTTCATAACCCTCTGTGGGATAGTGGTGAAGCTCTCAGCCTGCCTGCCTGCAGATTTGAACCTGGATCTTCCCAGTTCTGATGGATTGTTTTCATTTTATATTGCTCTTATATTTGTTGGGAACAATTCATTAAAATGCTAATATTTCAATAGAATGAGTGGCCTATCTCCTGCCATTGTCCTCTATATCTTTACAATGTCCCTATGAAGTAGCAAGACTGACTGAGCATATAAATCCAGTACTCCCCTAATCTAACGTTGAGGTTGTTGCTCAGTGGGAGGGAAGCAGCTGCTTCCACACCTCCTTTCCAAAACAGTTAATGTGCACAGGACACTGCATAATATCAATTTGTATTTTTTTAAAGGAAAATAATACAATAAACTGGGGCTTGGAAATTTCTGATCCTCTGATCTTCTAGGACTCTTATTATCTGTAACCCGGCCTGATCTGAATGAGCACCCATCAAAATCTAGATGGATGCTAGTATCTCTACCTTTGCAATAAGACAAACTGGATTGAACTCCAAGGCACATGGACATCTTGTGGTAAAAGATTCATAGTAGAATGGCCGATGGCAAATAGTGAGTTGAGGATGGAGAGAGAGAGGAATTGTTGCATGCCACTCCACTCATGGAGAGATATTTGATTAAACACCATCTGTAACAAGGTCATGTCTACGCTTCTAAAGAAGGTGAAACTAATAATAATATATTACTTCATGTTAGGAAAAAAAGGCACTGTAATTGCAATGGAAGCTCAGAAATGAGCCTTTTGAAAATGTAAGTAAAAATATTGGCCAACATGTACAAAAAAATCCATGAATGCAAAACTTGACATTTTGTCTGAAAGATTCTCAGGAAAACATGTAGATGAATGATTTCAGTATCCAAATAAAGGGTTAGTCAGCTGTAGACATCTTTTTTGCTTGTAATAACAAATAAATGTCCTATTGCCCTGCTTCTATAGGTAGTTTGGGCCACCAGTGAACGTGTTGGCTGTGGGACAACATTCTGCAAAACCCTGGAATTGACGAATGATACTGACATGCATTTATTCGTCTGCAACTACGAGCCCCCGTAAGTTTGTTCTTGCCAGAGTTGGGGATGGGTTAGATTTCCTTTGGATTTCCACTTTGTATTGTCATTTGAAAGCTGCCTTATACCAAATCAGAATAAGGACAATTCCACACAGCAGCCTAAACTGCTTTTCTACTCCCAGCTCAGCTGCTCCCAGCTGTTCCTGAAGCTGACTTTAAAAATTTCATTCTGGATTGCAACAAGTTGGCAAAAGGGCCAGCTTGGTGTTCAGTCAGAACTACAGCCACTGCAAAACCTACCTTGTCATTCTCTGGCTTCTTGCTCTTCCCATTCTTGCAGGGTAGCCAGACCTTATTTGCTGGACCCTCTATGGGCTGGTCTCCCAGTGCCTACCTTTTCCTTTTAGGGATTGTTCCCTCCTCACTAGTCCCCCTTCTTTTCCTTTGCTTTCCCAGATGCTTGCACACATTGATGACTTCACACTCCCTCCCCACATTCTCTCCCTCAGTGCTAATGCAAACTCTTTTTTCCCCCTTATTGTGCCAACATCATTCTGATGCTATGAGGATCAAAGCAAAAGAGCAGGTTGTTTCTTCATTCCTATGTTCCAGTGCAGGTCTGCGCGAACTTTGTAGCAAGGAAGAATTGATTAGAATTAAAAAAGAACAGGGAAGTTTTGCAGTATTGTGGATAAGGGGTGGGAAAGCAAGGGGACCATCCTTTCCACAGTCTGGGCAGAAACCGAGAGTACAACTAGGAGATGTAAGGGTTGAATGGAGTGATGAGCTTCTAGAAAGAACGTTCATTGGCTTATAGGCCATCACTGGATCAAGGAAAGACTGTAAAAAAAGTAGCAGCTGCTGACTATGAAATCTACAACAGAAGCTGGAAGCCGAGGACAAGACGGCTGCATAGGGCAGCAACCATTGGAAAGGTGAGGAGAATGTGCCAGGCCCTGTAACTCATCAGAGAGGGTGTTGTCACTAGATTGGAAGGAAGTATTGCATACCATCTACTTGGAAGGGCTTAAGATGACTCAAGCTGGAAAAGAGCACTCAAGAAGTGCTAGGTGGCCAATACAGATGGAGGGGCCACAGAAAGTATGGATTTGCCCTAATTGTGAGTTTAATTCAGTATTAACTCAGTATTCAGTATTTCCCAGCTTGGTGCTCTTCAGAAAAGACTATTTAGATTGACAGCAATTCAGTAGAATTTAATGTAATCTGCTGGTATGAACGTGCACTTCCAGTTGTCTGCAACTGGAGCTGCATATGAAGCCAGTAAATCAGCCAGTAAATAATCAGTGTGCACATACACCCACAAACAGAAAAGAAAGGAAAAAACGGATCCTCCTCCACAAAAGCATCCATCCCTCTTATACTAAGTAGAACTAATCATATATTAATCATGTGTACAGTCAAAATGCCTACATTGTCCTTCTGTTGGGAGTGATTGTTATGAGAAGCAGATGCAAAGCTGCCAAGGTACTATCCCTCTGTAGGGAGCAATGAAAGTTCATTGGCTGAACATCTCCAAGGAGGGGAGAAGCAAGGGAGGCAGCCTGCCCACATACAGAGTTTCAACCCTGTTTCAACAAGGGCCTTTTCAGCATTTCTGGTTACACTGCCACTGAGTCAGAAATGAATGCAGGTGTCAGATAGAGATCACCCAGGCACTGAACTGATTCTGGAGCAGAGCAAAAACCTGTATGGAAGTCCTCTCCATGTTGTGTAGGAAGGGAATTCCTTTCATCAGTTCTGAATCTCAACACACCTGGTTTTCACCTAATTGCCTCTCTGCCCACATCTGCCAAAGCTTGGGTGATGTTATATGCCTCTATTGTAGCACCTCTCTTCCTCCAGCATCTAGACAGAGGGTTTCCTGTGATTTGATGCTACATCAGATTCTCTGTCTTCTCCATCTTCTCTGGAGATACCCAGGCTTGAATATGGGGTCTTTTGCATGCAAAGTATATATTGGTCCCTATTATGGGCTTCAGGGTTTCCCACCATCTCTCTCCACAAATGAAGGCCATTTCTGAGCTGACCGTTGCTCAAGAAAGAATGAAAAAACTGATGAACTTATGTCAGAATCAATGACATATGAAAAATGTGATAGTAACTGCAACAAAGGGGCGTGTAAAACATACTTATTCTCCTAAATCAATAGCAGAAATGTGATTCTACTGAATGCAAAGCAAGAGTTAAAAGACTCCACTACTCCATGTGAATATACTGCTTTGTTGTGCTGACTGAAATTCCTCAGCTGTTGCACTGGCAGTTGCTTCAAACAGTTTTCTGGTGGGGTGAGACGGTTCATAATCAAACATATCTGTTAACAAGGAAGAAGGTGACACAGAAAAAGTCAGCATTGCTCCCCATTAAGTGTAGATGCAAACATTGTGAGTGTACCACAAAGCCACCTCATTTACAATGTGAGAGTGCATGACATAGTTTTGTGAAGGGTGCATTAGCAGTTTGCAAGATTGGATGGTTTGGTTGTTTCTTAGCATTTCTCCCTTGGGCTAGAAACCTGTAAAATATGAAGAGGAGTGTATGCAGGGTATAGTCAACCCTGATACACATAAAAAGTGGGCAGAACTTCAATCACACCATCATGGTCACCATCTTGACTTCTCTGACCCTACCCTAAGAACACCCCTGAATATGAATTAATACCAACAATGCATAGGCAAATGAATTATCTACCATGTGTCAACTTATTTTGAAAGAGAATAGTTCCAAGATTACCTTATATATTCAGTTAAATAGAGTAGCCCTGGTAATATTTTCCTTTCTTTCAAGACAAATCAGTCACAAAAAATATAAATGCAATTTATAGAATTAAATGTGCAGAATTGCCACAACTGTTAATCAGATAATCTTCCTTTGTACAAAAGAAGCGCTATTCCCTTTCTAATCAAAGTATAACTGATATTTGATTACAGTACAGAATTTACTGTTAATAATTGTCTGAGTTTAATTGTGTGTATGTTTCTAGTTCTAGAATGAGTTACGAGTTCTAGGGATTTCATTGTAAACCCACTTCATGAGTCCATCTTACCTAAACTACAATTATTCTTGGTATCAAATAACCTTAGAATTAAAGAAGAATTCTTTGTAAATCATTGTCAGCCTAAGTTCTGGAGTAAAGGTTTCACTCGATGGTAGTTAATTTATTTTTGGAGCATAAATACTTACACACATATATACTTAACATTAATATAATTACATTCTCTTTACCACCAGTCAAAGCAGGGGGTAGTGTCAAAAAAGTAAAGATGTTGACTGTGACCACACAATAGATACCATCCCCTTTTAAAGTGTGTTGTCCATAGGAAACATGTAAAAAGGGGGTGGGGCTTTTATTGAGCATGTGTGGCTGCCATCTTGACTTTAGTTTAACCTCTCTCCCTCACAGATATCCCTGAATCGAAGCATCCAAAGTTCCAAATAAAAACACAAGCAAATACTTAGAACTGTGGAGTCCTTGGGGTTCTCTGAGCTTGGGTGTTTTCTTTTTGCCTTATAACACTGGCAAACTACTGTATATAAACAGAGAGCAAACCCCACTCTCTTCTAGCACTGAAGAAATTATCTAGTCGGGTACCGAAACGTCTGCAAGAAAACAACCAAGCTCAGAGAACCCCAGGGACTCCACAGTTCAACCCTGAGCTACATATATTCTCTTCTATAAATACTTAGAAATTTATTACAAACATATAAATACCCAGAACACATAAACATGTGTTCAAATGAGCCTTTTGTGTAAATTACTGTATTCCAGAATGACATAGTATCTTTTTCTTAACTCCTCCTCCTTATGGAATTCCTGGTACTAAATGATCACTGATGGGTACCAAAGAGCTGATGCCTAAACTTTCTTCTTGACTGTCTGGTTAGATGCTGCTGCTACTGAGATGACCATCTTCTAAGGTTTAGTGATTGCTACCTTCTATAGGAGAGAGATAAGCTTAGAAACAAGCTCTTCTCTATGGAATTGCTCTGCTCTTTTCATCACATGTTCACTTTTTAATTTCTAGGGGAAATATAAGGGGACGTAAGCCATATACCCTAGGAGCTCCATGTTCTATGTGCCCAGATGACTATTCCTGCACGAATGCTCTCTGTGGTAAGTCAATAGAACTTGAGAAGCCCAATATTTCCATGTGACTGTAGGTCTGAGAGAAAGTGCCTTGTTTATGTCCTAGATTAATTCCTTCCTCCAAGATTATCTGTTGAATTGAATTGAATTGAATTGAATTGAATTGAATTGAATTGAATTAATTCTGCTACTGGGTAGCTACTCTGAAAATACACCATCTCAAAACTAATGCCCTGTAGATGTGTTGGACTACTACTGTCACTGTCCCAAGAGGAAAGCTGACTGACTTTTTTATAATTTAGTGACTGCGATTGCTGTGATGAAGTGCATGTGCAAAATAGATCAAACATTTCAGACTAAGCTTTCTGTCTCACATGACCACAAATCAAATATATTTCTATGGAGACAGTGACATATTCAGTTGAAATCCATCAAGGAATAAAGTAATGAGGGGATTACTTCATCTTCTCTCATAGCTATGATATTCTGAATAATGAGGGGATTAAAATATGGACATTTATTGCTGACAAATTACCCAAGAGTTCCATGTGAGGTTTATACTGGGAAAGAACAACTTAAATGGCTATTTTCCCTCATGTGTGAAGTGCTTTAGAGTTTAGCGCTTTACCCTCTTGCCATTTCTGTTTAACATCTATATGAAGATTCCTAGGGGAGATCATCCAAAGGCACAGGGTTAGGTGATACATCTCAACTCCTGTCTGACCAAGTGATGCTATTAAGGTTCTGTCTCAGTGCCTGAGGCTGTGGTGTCTGGATGGAGATGAATAGACTTAGGCTCAACTCTGGTACCACTGACTAGTTGTAGATATTTGGAGCTACCCAGTTCCAGAAAGCTCCCATTACGGGTAATCCTCACTTACCAACCATTCATTCAGCAACTGTTTGAAGTTGTGATGGCATTGAACAAGTGGTACTTACAATCGGTCCTTGAAGTTCTGGCCATCGCACCACCCCCGTGGTCACGTGATTGTGATTTGGGCGCTTGGCAACTGGTTTGCACTATGACGGTTCTAGTGCCCTGTGGTTACGTGATTGCCATTTGTGATCTTCCCTGCTGGCTTCCCATAAACAAAGTCAAAGGGGAAGTTGGCAGGGAAGACTGCAAGTTGCTCTGGTAAGCCCCCCTGGCCTCCCTGCACTCACACGGCATCGTGCCATCCATCCCCCAGCCTCCCCCAACTCACATGCAGCACCCCTCCCCCCCACAGGACTCCTGCGCTCCTTACCTGGAACTCCCACTGCTTCTTGCTTAATGACCCATGCATCTTGGGGTTACGACAGCAACCAGGACTGCCAGGATTATTGTTGCTAAGCAATGCGGTCATATAACATTACACTTTATGATCGCATTACTTAGCAATGGCAATCCTGGTCCCAATTGCCTTTGCAAGCCAAGGACTACCTGTATTAGTTCTCAGTGAGGTTGCAATTCTCCAGATGGAAAAGGTCTGCAGTTTGGGGCTCCTTCTAGACTCCTGGCTCCTGCTCAAAAAGCAAGTGGCAACTGTGGCTAGGTGGACCTTTGCACAGTTCATCTGGTATGCTATTTGAAGTCATTTCTGGACTGGAGGCTGTACTCACAATCATTTATACCTTAGTGATGTCTCACTTGGACTACTGCAATGCACTCTACATGGGGCTGCCCTAGAAGACCATTCAGCAGCTACAGCTGGCAGTAGTGTTAGTTATGGGTGCACCTTGGTATGCTCATGTAACACTACTAGTGCATGAGCTGCACTGATTACCAGTGGGATACCTGGTGCAATACAAAGTGCTCTTGTTCATCTGTCAATGTCTATGTGGCACAGGAACTGGGTATGGCACAGGACTGAGGGATAGTCTGTCTGTAATTATCACTGCCAGTCTTAGAAGATCCAGCAGGAGTGGCACGCTCCAGGTTCCATCAAGTGAACAGGCATGCCTTCTCTGTCACAGTGGCTGCCTTATGGAATAGCATCGCTCACAAGATTTACCTAGCCCCAACTCTGCCAGCCATTAAGAAAGCTCTGAAATCCTGGATTTTTCCTCAGGCACTAGGTTGGGTAGGCTTATGAGCCTGCTGTAAATGTAAATATATATTTGCTATGCTTTGTTCCAGATATGCTATGTATTTTATTTCTTTACGATTGCTTTTCTATTGCAATTTTTTTTAACCCTGCTAGCCACCTGGAGTTGCTCTGTGAGTAAGAGGCCATATACAATTAACTACAATCATTAGTTGGTCCTTAGGAACTTGACTTCTTGATGACATCTGATTACAATGATACATGCTTAGTTCATTGTGGTTTGCAAATATGGCATCCCCAGTCTATAGGTCAGATAGGATGGATGTGTTCCAGGTCCTTTCCCTTAAATATTGTCATCCGGTGGAATCTCATAGGTGTGCCTTCTCTGTAGCCACCCTGTCCTTTGGAATGGCTTCTCATCTAATGGTATGTGGGAATGACCTTGGGAGACTTGGCCCAGAGACGCTGAGTACGGAACAGTCAGATAAGAGACAGCATAGTCTGAAGTTGGATAGTGGGCATGGCAAGAGGCTCAGGAAAGACTCTCCCTAATTTCTTGGGGTTTAAAGGAAATGGAAGGAGAATTGTACTTTCAGACTTGCAAGATTCTGTTAAAGTAGCCTTACAATAAAGTAGAATTAGCTCATCTGATCATGTTTCCTGCCTGGTCTACCTGGTAAAGCTGACACCATCTGAGATTTCCCCCCCACTCCCCTTTTAGCCTCCCAGAAGACTGTGAAGTCTTGGCTCTTCCCCCAAGCATTGGGGTAGGATGGGGTTGGGTCAGGGGGTCAACAGTATGGATGTTCTAGTGGCTGGTGGGAAGGGTACGATCTGTTTTTATGGGTTGTTGTGAGCTGCCTAGGATCACTGTGTGAGATAAGCAGCCAAATAGGTTCTTCAAATAAATAAATATATGATGGTGTGTGAAGCAACCAATATTTATGGGTACATACACACATACGATTAATCTCTTTACCGTATTTTATGCAGTCTATGTTAAATATGAGAATAATTCTGTTGTCTGAGATAGAAAATCCCAGTGGTATCCTCTTCATGGTGGCTAAAAATATAAAAATTAAATAATCTTTCCTTAATCCGGTACTCAGGTTGGGGAAGGTTGAACTAAATAATTAACTTTTGTTGCCTCTTAATGGTGCTTCAAATGGTTGCAGTGCCTCTGGGAGGCATGAACACTTTTATTTCATCTTCTTTGAAATAAATGCCTGAACTTGGGATTCCTTACATTGGATTGCAATGCAGCTTTTCAGGGCCAAACTAAGCAACATTGACATCTGTGAAAATTCAGATTATATCTAGATTTAATTAAAAAAACAAATGCCCATGTGCTGCTTTTTAAAGGCATCCAAAATCTTCAACCTGGGATAGCCATCTCTGTCTCACAGCACAGTAAGCCCTTCCAGCAGCATAAAAATGTTGCCTGTCAAAGTGCAATGCTGGTTTCCTGCTTGGTGGATTATTGCTGACTTGCTGTCAACCTGTGTATTTTCCACCAGAATCCAGTGCTGATGTAGAAGAAACTACTGCACCACCCACAGCCCCAGATCTCAAGTCTACTGCGACAGTTTCAGCAGCAGACACACCAGAAAGTCCCAGAATTGGCACAGAAGCAGGATCTGAGCCCACTGCTGCAAAAGATCAAACCGCCATCCCCACTACAAGCCCAGTTCTCCAGTCCACCATGACAGTTTCAGCAGCAGACACACCAGAAAGTCCAAAAATGGGCACAGAAGCAGGATCTGAGCCCACTGCTACAAAAGATCAAACCGCCATCCCCACTACAAGCCCAGATCTCCAGTCCACCATGACAGTTTCAGCAGCAGTCACACCAGAAAGTCCAAAAACTGGCACAGAAGCAAGATCTGAGCCCACTGCTACAAAAGATCAAACCGCCATCCCCACTACAAGCCCAGATTTCCAGTCCACCATGACAGTTTCAGCAGCAGACACACCAGAAAGTCCAAAAACTGGCTCAGAAGCAGGATCTGAGCCCACTGCTGCAAAAGATCAAACCGCCATCCCCACTACAAGCCCAGATTTCCAGTCCACCATGACAGTTTCAGCAGCAGACACACCAGAAAGTCCAAGAACTGGCACAGAAGCAAGATCTGAGCCCACTGCTACAAAAGATCAAACCGCCATCCCCACTACAAGCCCAGATCTCCAGTCCATCATGACAGTTTCAGCAGCAGACACACCAGAAAGTCTAAAAACTGGCACAGAGGCAGGATCTGAGCCCACTGTGACAAAAGGGCCAACCCTTTCCTTACAGCCAATTTCAGATAGGGATCTTAAAGTATCTGACTTGCAGACAGACAGAGATGGGATTGATGGGTCCTTGATGACCACAATAAGTGCTATGTCTTTTTCAGACTTGAACCTACCTCTCAGTTCTATTTCCCCTGAAACAGGAACTGAAAAAGCTACTGGCACAGAACTTCCTTCTTCTGCTGATGGTTTAATCACAACCCAAACCACCATGATAAAAACTGAGCAACCTGTAATTACTCTTGTCCCAGTGCGTTCCACCTCAAAGACCCCCTCCACTCCTAAACGGCCATCTGTCCCTAAGTCCCCCTCTGTCCCTAAGCCCCCCTCCATTGCTGTGCCTCAGATCTTTCCTAGGCCACCCCCCATCCCTATGAAACTTCTCATCTCTAAAACACCAGCACGCCACCGTCTGTTGGCCTATTCCAAAGCCATACAGAGCCGCAGCAATGCTTTCCAGTCTTCTGCAGGTAAAGCAGCTTCAATGTCTGTCTGCCTGCCCTGCCTTGGGTGTAAACAGATCAGCCAACCTGAGGACATAAAGGCTGCACTTAAGGAGCTGACCTTCAGGTATCCCTATGAACCTTGTTTTGGCTCACTTCCCCGATGGCAGAGGCATAGCAAATGCAGTTGGTGTGGGCACACATACAAACTTGTGGGTTCATCATATCCTGTGGCACTTGGAAAGGCCAGGCCTTACTGGCTCAACACTTTATAGTAGCACATAATCTAATGTATTTATATGCAAAATCCTCCCTTCTTTTCCTTTGTGCATGCCTGTATATGGGTGTCTGTGTGCACGCATGCACATCTATTTTTCTCTCTTCCCATGGCTGAGCAAACACTCCATCAAATGTGGCCCAAGCTGGTCCAAAGAATAGGATTTTCAACAATGTCAGGGGGTTTGTTGGGAAATGTTCTCTATTTCCACTGCCTCTACATTTTCCTCAGTCCAGACTGTGGAAGAACATCTCATTTCTTTCCTTTCCCCATGATTTTGGCCAGAGTCAAAGGGCAGTAATAACAGAACCTCAGCATGTGTGTCTGACTTGAAGCCCTGACACAGTTTTCCACATCTCCTTGCTTGTGGCATATTTATTTATAGGACTCTGCCCATGTGCCATTCTCATACCTCCCATTCTGCTTTTGAATTAGGGCTAGAATGTCCCCAGTATATTCTTCTTTATTGATCTATTATCTGCCCAAAATGCCAGACTATTAAAAAAAAATTGGATCTTGAAAATGGAATAAATTACACAAGCAAAGCAAGGGCAAGCACATTTACTGACTTCTTCAGCATACTTCAAAAGAAGAATTCATTTGTGCTTTCTTGGTATAGATGCTGAGGCTTTGTGACCTAGAAAATGAATACAAACGTGTGGGTTCATCATATCCTCTGGAAATGTAAAGCATGTTGATACTGTACTGTATGTCCTGTTTGTAGAAGTGGATATAGTAAAGTGAATGACTGACTAGGGAGACTTGATTAGAGTGTTTCCAGAGAAATCCAGTACATAACAATTTAATCTTAGACTAAATAAGTGATGCCCATGGGGATAAAATATTGAGTGTGAAGTGAATAGAATGTCCCCATCCAAGTGTTATATGTAGATTTTTTTTCTCTTGCAGGACTCTTCATTGCCATAATCTTTTGATCAGGCAATATTATTAATGAATTTCTTGGTTCATTCTCTCCTCCTTGCTCTATAGGTTCCTAGAATATCACCAATATTCTCCTCTACTGTCTCTTAATGACTGAAAGGCTATGTTTGCTTTTTCTTGCAAGCATGATAAGGGTATGGATTCAGCTGAAGTGCATAGAATTAAGGCAATTCCATCCTTCTTCAGATGAGGTCTGGTTTTTCTTTCTCTCTTGTTCTCTTAATACAACATGTGCTACAGATACAGAGGATCTGCTGATATAGTGACCTGGAAAGATTGTCAACAATCTATATGTTCAAACAGCAGTCATTTGTTGCTATTCTCCTCTCACTTCTTCTTGGTGATTCCCATTCTGTCTCATCAGTTTCAGAATTACCTTTGTTCTTGTTTTCTGTTGGTCTGTGATAGTGGCCATCAGCCTATTCTGTTTGGGGTACCAGAAAGATAAGTACTGGTTCACTTTCCCCTTTTCCACTAAAGATACTTGGTATTGAACACAGAACTTCCTTCCTTGTATGCAAATAATGTGCTCTGTCTCTGAGCTATGATTTTTTTCTAGTGAAGATGTATGGAGAACCCACTTTGATAAAACATAATTTCTTAATATCTATTCCCTGGCAGAAGTTGGAATAGTTGTTTTTGTGTCTGCATGTGTAAACGGAATCTTTTCTATGAGCCTGATTCATACAGCCATTTTTAGCAGTTGCTATTATTAGATGATACTTGATTGAAATTATTCTTTCTTAGCTATCATGCAGTGTTGTTGATTTAAAAAAAACACTGTGGTCATTGGATACAGACATGTTGCTTGATTATTGACAATCACATAAGTATCTCTGTGAACAGGCTGCATTTAAGTTCAACCTGAAGCTACCTGACTATCTTGAAATGTTTCAGTCATTGACATGGAAGTTTGTTCTGTTAGTTTCAGTTGTACTTATTTTCAGGTGACTGGGTTTACAATTGCAACATTATGTCCCATCTAAAGATATGAATAGCTACAACAGCACTCTTATTTTAGCAAGTCCAGTTCTATAGCTTCTTTGAAGTACTCCAAGGAAAAATGATTATCTGGTATTATATAGTTTGCAGCAAAATTTACCTTAGCCCAGCTGAGCAGCATATAGAAAAATAGTTTTCAAAGCTAACAGTACATGAAGCTGTTGTGACAGATAGATGTTCCTTTTTGCTGCTATATCAGAGTTTAACACGTGTGGGTGCCTTGGTGCTCTGTTCTGAAATAACTTGTGGCATTTCATAACATGACACTGATATTGCAAGTCTTTCTGCCCAATCCTATAGATTAGGTTTGCCTGCGCAAGTTGTTCACAGAGAGTGATCAAGACTACTCACTGATGGTGACTTTGGTTCATGCCTGTGATTCCACAGGCAGTGATCTATCTTGAAAAAAAAAATCATCTCTGCATTATTTATGTTTAGCTATAGCTAGCCTGTTCTATCATAATGAACCGCACTCCTAATGTAGAGATATGTCTGACATACTGCAGTGTAAATTCATTCAATCATATCTAAAATAAATCAGGAGTAACGTCTGTTCCTTATTAACCCCAATTAGACAGCAGGAATGTGTGATTCACGAAAAGACGAGAAATGTTTTCTTCAAAGGCGTAACTAGATAAAACTAGCTTTAAGTTGTAAAGAATGGAGGCCAGAGTGTTGCAGCTGGATCCATTACACATCACAGCCAGACAATAGCTCTGTCTGTTGCTAATTTGATCCATATATTTTACAGTTTCCAGAGTAACGAGTTCACCTCTTGACAAACCTCAGCTGGCCCAGCTAAGATCCAGCTGAAGGTGCCACTTGAAGCAAAATTCTGCAGATACTATATTTTTGTTAACAGAATGCTGGGGAAGGTATAACATTTTAAATGGTACAATGAGTAGCACTGCAAAGCATGGTTTTTAATACATCTGAAATAAATGTTATTTCAAAAATCTTTTGTCTGGAAAATGCATTGCTTTTATTGGCCACCTGATTCCTATGACAATTTTTTAAAAGGAAGATCTGAAGCAGAAGAATGACTGAGAAGCTTTTCTTGGTTTGTATCAAGTAGTCTATCCAACAACGACGACAGCAACAACATATTTTATTAAGGCCATTGGCCAATCAACAAGTAATATATCCTACATCTTGCTGGAGGAGGCCAGTGTAGGAAGCAACGTCAAGCACGTGCAAACTGCAGCTGACGGGTATTCAGTGGTGTTCAACAAGAATGGGAACAATATGAATTGCTACCTCTGCAAGCTTGCAGGAAGGACCTTGTTTTTTGCTTTGTGTGTATGTATATGTGTAACTAAAACCTCGAAAGCCACAAACTGGAGTGCAGTGCCATAAACAGAAAGTAAGAAAAAATCGTCAGTCCAGAATTTTTCTGCTTGTCAGAACTGAATGGAACTCTCAGGTCATAGACCCAAAAGGTCCTTTTCAGTTATTTCAAGCTTTCTACAGTTTACCTATTCATGGCAATAAGGTATGTGGGCATGTCATTAGATCCTTGAAGATCTATTGTAAATCACCCAGGAGTCTGGCGCTAGTGCCAAAACATACTTTGTGTCCACTCACCTTGTAGAGTGAAAATTATGGGAGCTCTAATCAAACATATCAGTGGAACCATTGGGTAGAGGAAGACTGATTTAAGCTAGTATCATTGGAAACCAAGTTAGCAATTCATATTGTATATGAACGTCATTCAAAAGACTTTTGAAATGAGAACTAACATGTTTCCTTTTTAATGAATGGTAGAAGATTGGCTGTAGCTATCAGGGCAAAGGTAGAATGAAGAATTAGAATTTGGAAAAACAAATTGCTACTAGTTCAGATTGGTCAATTTGATCCTACAAAGTAAAAACTAGCAGCTATGGCATATAGAATGAACGACCCTATTAGATATATTCATGAGGGATGAGGGAGAAATGTATTTTCTGAATTTGTCTTATTTTGCATTTTCAAAGTAATATACAAATTGAAATTAATCTACACTTTGCACAATTCTGAGAAGTGCTTGTGTTAAAATAGATCACCATAAAAAATAAAAATGTGTGTTAAAGAAGAATGCACAAAATGCATATATCTATGACTATAATATATAAAATGAATTATATTCAAGAGAAGTATTTGCAAAGCCTGTGTTCAGTAATCTTTATTGTAATGAAATATGTGCATTTTTGGAGAAATGTGCACAAAAATAAATAGAAATTTTAGTGTATTAAAAATATTTGAAACTAACTGACATAAGATCCAATTTACAAATCTGAAAATGAAAAATTGAAAGAGCCCCAAATTTACAAGATTTGCAGCAAATGAGAAATTGTCTTCCCCAACCCATTTCAAAGGGACAGATTTGTCTATCCCTAATCTTCACCACTGCTCTTTGGCTAGGAAACAGGAATGAGACTGTAACTTGACAGTATGTTCTAAGATGCACTAGGCTTCATTGCAGAAGCATAAGGGGCCTTCCAACTGCATTAAATAGTATCCCAGGCTTATGAATTTGTGCCTTGCACATAGTCTTCAACCAAAATAGGCACCATATTGGAGAAGGGTGTTAGCATCTATCACCTCTGCTTTCCTAAAATGAGACTGGGAACAATAGGTGAGGACTTGATCCTATCCTGAACACTAGTCACAACTATGACTGCCCTCTGTTCAGTCACTTAGTGGGCTTCTGTGAGGCAGCTGTGCTGTGCTTCAATCAAATGCTTTGTGCTGCAGAAGGAACACAATGTGCCTTGATGTGTTGCTTCTGGACGCCTTCTCCTCATGCCAATAGTTGGAAGAGGCTTCAGCACAGAGCATGTGGCATCTTTATTTCATTGTTTAGAAACCCGGGCAGGCTGCATTGCCAAGCAAAGCAGTTTCTAAGAGGCACCTTTAAGCAAAGTGATTCTGCCATGAGTTGCCAGGATTGACCAGACACAATATCATATGCAAGATCTTTCAGAACCATTCAGATTTTTCCCCCTGTATTCTTAGCATAACAAGGATAAAGACATCAGCTGAACAAACAGAATTCAGCTAACACATACAAACAATTCTCCCCTCCCTCCTCTTTTGAAAGTTGGAATGTAGCAAATTCCCTATGACTTAACTGTTCTACAATCCAAAGATTAACTATAACTCTGCTGGCAATAGTACTGCTTCTACTGAAATGACAGTATTCCTAAAAAGTTGTTGCTGATAAATTTCCCAAAGAGTTAATCAAGGGTTCAGTTAACCTTAGCTGGAAGCCTCTCATGGGCTCTTTTTTCTAGGGTCTTCAGTTCCTCTTCTCTCTCTGGATATCTGTACAGGGTAGAGAAATTCCATGCTGTGCCATTTTCCTTACATGGTGATTCTTACACCGAATCCATTTTGGTGGTCTTGAATCCTCCTGGAACCTGCTTATCTTCAGCAGCCCAAGACAACCTAATTCCATCTTTGCTTGCTTGCCATTTTTCCTCTCTCCCTTTCCCCAGCCTTCACTCAACTTCTTCTTGACAACTTTTTAGCCATTTCAATTTTTACTTTCCCATGAGAGAGACATTCTGTGTGAAACCCCATATCTTTTCCTCTCAGCATTTTCCTAGATTCAGGTTATTAGCCAAAAGTAGTTTGTATGTCTGGTTAGTCACATTACAATGTCTTTTATGTTCTCCATTCTGTCACAGAACTCTTCAAAGTTTTGCACAGCTCTATCACTTAGATGTAAATCATGTTGAACCTGGTAGGATATATAGGTCTGAGCAAACCATATTGCTTAAGCCATGCTTACATTGGTTAAACTGTAGTATTGGTACATTCTTACTTATAACACCACTTACTTTTTATTATTGCTTTAAAAGATAATATAACTTTTAAAGCCCTTTTGGGGTTGTGATTGCAGCAAGAATATTTCACAAATTTAGGGCCTTTTGCATTAAAATAGGGTGCTTCATTTGCTAATATCTGAATGAATAATGGAGCACTTGTGTGATTGCAAGATAGATCTAAGAGACTCTGAGCCTTCTCAAATAGCCCCATTTCTATTTCCCAAACTTCTACAATCCACATTTAAATTAGAATACTCCTTGATAGTTTTCATCTTTTTCAAAACTATATGCCAACATTCATACTGCTATACCTATGAGTAGATCTAATTTTTGTGAATTAACACCTTGCAAAGAACAGTTAATAAGTAGGGTATACATTGGGAATGATTTGGAAGAAGTACTTGGGACTAAGGGAAGCACAGCACCTTTCTGCAATTCATTTCAGGAGTCTGCTCATTAAAGTTAATGCAACTGTTAAAGCAGTGGCTCTTTACTCCCCACCCCAATGCCCCAAAAATTCATGAGAAAGCCTGAAAAAAAAATGAACTGTTTTAATGGCTAGTATTGCTGTGATCAAGCAATGTCTGTAGGACTTCTTCATTTTCATTTCTGAAGAGTGCACACTGCGCAGCCCTGCTCCTCAGAATTCATTCAAGCTATCCTCAAGCCAGCCAATGGCTGAGCAGCCTTTGTGCCGGCTCATAAGTCCTGCTCCCTTTGGGTGGGTCTAATAAGTATTCCACACCTATGCTGCACCCAAAAGAAAAGAACTTGCTATCATTTCTCTGTTTCCTGCCCCCCTCTGCCCCCTCCTTCCAGGTACAGTACTGTCTGGTTTACTAGAGGACAAAAACCAAAAAAACCCCAAACCCTGAGAGGCTGAAAGGTTATGCTGAAGAAAAATCAATGATAAAAAAAAATGTAAATTAATGCCTGTCAGTAACCCGCAGACTGTGTTGAAGTTTGCCGCCATTGTAGTACAGTGTTAAATCTGGAGAAAGCTTTTTTGCTCAGAGATGCTGGGAAGAATGAAAGAAGATCAGCTTATAAGCAAAACATGAAACTCTCTGGCAGGAAGAAGAGATGATCAAGTGTCACTGTTTGGTTTCATTTTCAGAGGAAAAGAGCATGCTGAAGGTAAGAACAAGAATGGGAGAACAGGCCGGACTGACTTTCCATTAGGTAGAATAGGCACAGGGCCTAGGGCCCACAAAATTACTATAGTAATGAGAAAACACAACACAATAATAGTTAACACACATTTAATTAAAACAGGCAAGAAATACACAAAATTTGAAGACCAAACTGATGGTATTATTTGTAACCTATAGACATAGCATGAATACTAAAATTTAGTAACTTTGATGATATGTGACAGACATCATAATTAATTGACAACACCTGATTGTTACACACACACACACACACACACACACTCATATTCTCTTCTATTGGTATATATACTCAATATTTCTCTCTGAAATATGAGGAAAATATTGAAAATTATATTAAATGTAATTTTAATAACATCATTTTTATGGAGGGAGGGCCCCACGAAAGCAAAGTGCCTAGGACCCACAAAAGTCATAATGTAGCCCTGGGAACAGGGAGTAGAGGGGATATCATGAAATCTCTTCCTTGCAAAGTTTAAATTTTAATGTTATCATAGTGCTGGTTATGTTGAAGACTTCAAAGGAAAAATGTTTACCTTTACAAAAAAGGAATGAGGCATATAGGTCAGTTTGGATATAAGAAGGCTCCTGTATCATAAAACTATAAGTAGATGGAACATTTTGTTGGAGGACTTAAAAAGATGCCTAAAAACACTGTTCAACTTCTTAATTAATTCAAAAACTTTCTTATGTGAAAGCATCAAAGGCAAGCAATTTGGGTTCTCACAAACTCGAATAAACATTTTCTGAGGATTAATTTCTTTGAGGGCTCTTTTCTGAGTAATCATTTAATAATGTAAGCAGACATACATCATCTCTCTCCCTAACTGAGCCATGAATTTGGGATGTGCTGAAATGATCATGCAACAGTGTTCATTCAACACAATAGCATTTTTTAGCACTTTAAACAGTGACAGATTTATTGTAGCACAAAGTTTTGTGGACTTCATTCACATCAAAAGCAAGGAATTTGATCT